TGGTAGTCTTAGTGACATAGCCATTACGCTAACGGCTGGTCCCATGCAGACTGTTTTGAGAAGCTGCTGCTGTAAAAGACAAATTCTAGATGCTTTGCAGCTATCCCCAACACATGCCTGGTCCAACTCCCTGGGCCCAGTGTAAGCTGCCTAGGGACTATACCTACAGCCTGCCCAAACCACCAGGAACACTGCACTGAGGGAACTGGCAGTGCCCCTGCCCCACCTCCGGCCACAGTCTTCTGCTATGGCAGTAGTGTCACAACACATTCCCTGCTCTGATAGGTGCCTGAATTTAATGAGTCCCCGTGACCAGGAATACACCATCTCACCTCTTCAGCCATTTGGAGAAGCGCTTTATTATTGTTTTCCCATTTGGTACGCCATATTATTGTTTCTTTTTCCAGTTTTTTAATTTTCTTTGTCATCTGTGAACACAATTGCACATTTAAAGTTGCACGTTTTTACTCCTTGTCCCCCCTCCCACCATTTTACTGACCCCACCCCATCACTCCTGCCTTGCCCTGCTGACAGCTGCTTGTGTCTGTAGAAGTGGCCATGCCTGTCTGTCAGCAGCAGAGCACATCTCAGCTATTCCCAGGGTGGACCCGAGATGGAGGTTTCGTATTATGACAAAAAGCCACCCCGAGTTTCAGAGAAAGGGAGCACACATGGGCGCCTGTCAGATACCACCCTGCCCTCAGTTAAGGCCAGAAAGCGGCTTTCAGTCAGCTGGGGAAGACAGCCCCCTCCCTGAGTTTTAGAAGATACCCATGCTTTTGAGTTCTCCATTATGCCAGTTCCTCAGAATCTTGGAGCATTTTAGTTCCACAAAAGGTTAACAAGCAGTGCTCTCGCCCAGTCTCTGAGACCACATAGGTTTCCAAACTGGAAGCAGCTTAATTCAGGTAACACTCCAGTGGCCGAGAAGATGAAAAAAGTTCATCCTTAAGCTTTGGCCAGTCTCACAAGCTTTTACTTCAAGCCTTACTGAAGCTAGCTGTGGGCCCCAAAATCAGGGGTGCATTCTTAAACCTATGCTGTCAGAACCTAATTTCTAAAGTTCAGGATGAGGCCTATCTGTGGCTGCCAGTCAGCCCCATTCCCAGTGTTCCTTTACCCGCTATGGACTGGCACACCAGCTCTGATCCAGGGTGGGGCACCAAGCCAGCTGCTGGTCAGGCTAAGGCAGGGCCAATGCCCAGTGCCCAGTGCATTAGGTCATGACCTGTAAAACTGGAACACAAGCAAATTGGGGCAAAGGCCATGGGGAGAGCTCGCGGGAGACATGGTAAAGTGCTGACCCATAGTGCTCTAGCTACTAATGGAGGACCAGGTTCCCGCCCAGAGTTCTCCAGGAGGATAGCAAACTGGGGAGCCCCTGTCTGGAACTCTGTTCCACCTTAACAGTGAGCATGTGCCTACAGTTCCCCGTTGATTGGAGCCTCAGCGGACAGGAAGGGCAGGCAGAACTAATCTGCTCATGGAATTCTCCAGATTACTAGTTCTAAAAATACCTGAAGGTGGTTATTTGAGCACTGTTCAGCACGTGGTAACTGAGCACATGTTCACAGGCCAAGCTGTCTGAGATACTGTGTTTTATGAAGGCGAGTTCTTTTTGTTTTAACTTTTAACCATGAAGGCACAGAAAGGTTAAACGACTTGTGTAAGTCACACATTGTAATGATGTAACGGGGACGTGAACTCAGAGCACACATTCTCAGCCACAACGGGAGCTCTAGTAACAGGACTAACATCTATGGGCTGCTTATAGAGTGCCAGGTGCTGCTGCTGTCCTCAACTCCACACTAATTCTTCAAATCCCCCATTTGAAAGGGAAGATGCCAAGTTAAATAAGAATGGACGGATGGGTGGGTATATATGAATATAACTACATATTTTGGTTCTCAGCTTGATGTCAAGGATATCACTTAATGTGGGCAAGAAAATGCAACAGGAGTGAAGGCTGGTTTGGTTGAAGGGGCAAAGGATTCAGTGGGAGTAAAGAGAAAAAGAAAAGCTATCAACCAACCAAAATATGTAATGACTCTTCTGGGCTTGGATGTCTTTAAGCAGTTTTAATCTCCAAGGACACAAGAGTTTTGTGAAAAGACAGGAGTGATCCTCTGAAGTGATTAAAAAAAAAACAAACAACAAACAAAAATCACACCACTTTATTTCTAACAAACTATATTTAATAGAGGAGTTCACTATGATAAAGATGGACTTCTAAGGGCATCGAGATCGTGAGCTACTTGTGGTACACCGAGGGCAAAATGACCAAATAAGGCAGCATCATAAACATACATGCATCCCATTAGGAACCAATGCATAAAAGAGCTTATATAAATTCCCGTTTATACAATATTCTACTAGAAGTATGCAAATACCTTTTCCATTTCCTGCCTGAAGGTTGTAAACAGTTCATTGCTTTTTGCCATGGTAGTCTGAAATTCTTCAAACTTATCCATATAAAGAGAAAGCTACAGAAAAAAGTATGAAATATTCTGAGTTTCAGGTAAAAAAATTCAAATTCCCAAACTTTCAAAAGAACATAATATGGTTAAACACAAATGATTTGTTTTAAGAGACAGATCTAAGAACAAATGCACACTTGATCCCTGGCTACCAGACATAGATGGCTGAAGTTCTGACAACCCACAGAACCACATTAAAACTGATGTTATTGATTTAATAATAGGAGTAAGTGTTTTAACGTACCAACATTTACTAGCTACACTGTGTCAATCCTAATGAAACCTGAACGAGGTGGGATAGCTCTTAAGTCTCATCTACCTACAATACTTTATGGGCTCCCCCGTTTGAACACTGTCCAGGGCAAAGATCATTCTTTTAGAGTACCGCGTGCATGGTTCTTAGGCTGATGTCTGGGATCTTTCATTCCCTAATGTAGGCAGGAAAATGCAACAAAGCCAAAGATCTGGTTTGCTTGGGGAGAAGGAATTCAGTGGGAGTATAGTTAAGAGAAAAGAGCTAAGAGAGAGAGAAACATTAATTTTTGTTTTAACTCCTACCCTCACAGAATTTCTCAACCAGTTCAACCAGGGGGGGAAAATGCTAATCAGTAAGACAAGCAGATATAAAATGCAGAGAGCCACCTTTTCTCCCCGTTCGAACTCCAGAGACTTGCGAAGGGAAGGCACAGTGAAGGGTGGAATATTAGGGAAAGCACAATGCCAGTGAGGCCTAAGCCGGGCAGCAAGGTAGGCAGAGGGCCTTCACCTCCAGAGCAGGAAGGACTCCTCTAGAGACCATCCATTCCTCATTTCCAGAATGGGGAACCAGAGACCCAGAGGAAGTGTTTTGACTGGAGATTGCACGATACATAGAAGAGAAGAAGAAAAGATCAGAGGTCAGGAAATAGCTTAAGGAGTGCCTTGTCATTAAATGGCACACCTAAAAGGGTGGTGTGGGGCAGGATGTGACAGACCCAGCCCACAGGCAGTCTCAGGTGGGGCAGGCCTGGGGCAGGCCTGGGACAGGACGGTCAGGAAGCGCTCAGAGGCAAGCGCTACTGCATGTACAGAGCTGGGTTATATCAGGAAGCCAGACCGCACCTGCAGAAAGGTGAGGGCATGGGCGAAGATGAAGAGCAAGCAGGAACCCAAGTGCAGGAGTGAAGTGGAGAAGATCACACAGGGTGTAAGAGGCCACAGAAGAGGCGCACACTGCCCACAGTTCTGAGGCTACCAGTATGCCTGGAGTTGGGAACAATGGCAGTGCTCAGGACAGAAAGGCCAGCCCCCACCTAAGGGACGGGAGGATTTCTGGTGGCATTAGTATGGTCCACTGTTACTGAAGATGGATCATCCAGGTAAAGACTGGCCCACCAGATTGTTCCATGCTGGCCAAGGATGAGTAGTCAGTAAGTGGCAACTACCATCACACCTGGACTTACATGGGCAGATTGTAAACCAGCATGCCAGGACGCGGAGGGGGAGTAAATACTGTCAGCAAATGCTGAGAAGTGACATGGCACGAGCAGAGAATGAGAGCCTCTTGGGAAGATGTACTTATTTAGGAAGCAGGGAAAGACGTGACAGCAAAGGAAACACAGTGACTGGGGTGGCACAAGTCATGGAGAACAGAAGCTGTGCCACTGACAGTGCGACCAATGGGAATAGCCTGCAGTTTGGCAAAAGGGCCCATGGCTGACCTCAGCAGCCTCATCAGTGACTCCCACATGTTCAAGAACATCTTCGGAAGCCATTCATAGACTGTTACCTCTCGATGGTGATCATGCCTCCACTGACACGGGCAACTGAAAGCTCAGGGCCAGTAAAGGACCTGAATCTAGAGGCATAACAGCCTGCTCATGACCTATGGTTAAAAGTTCCAAAGATTTCTGATATCTGCTACCTCTTGACTTCTCACTCTAAGTTAGGTTAGCTTTACGGAAAGTTAATATCACCACTGTAAAAGATTCCCAAAGCAAAGTGGAACTCCAAAGAGCTGCTCGTGAAGATTCATGTCAGTTTCAATGTACCAGCGTATTTTAGAACTAACCTAGTTCTTATTAAGGAATCTTACTATATAATAAACTTTTTTTTTGGGGGGGGGGGAGATTTTCACTGTAGGGCACGTGTGCTCGCCAGACAGACAGAGAGACATAGAGACAGAAAGCGAGAAATCACCCCCCAGGGGGGATGGTCTCGCCGCAATCCCTTCTCCTCCATTCTCCTCTCGGGATCTTGGGCACGCACGCACACGCGCCCGGCGTGAGTTTTTTTAAGCCACCAGGTCCGGGACACGAACCGCGGTCGACTACGTGGGAGTCCAGCAACATAGCCATTACGCTAACTGCTGGTTCCCTATATAATAAACTTTTAAAGTACGTAATATTCTTTTCAACAGAATGTGATCTAATTAACTGAAAAAGGGTGAATTATTGGAACAAAGGCCAAGTTCATCTGTCTAGAAAACTGGGGCCAGCAGGTAGCGTAGTGGTTAAGGGCGCTGGACTCCCACATGGACAACCACAATTCAAGTCCCAGACCTGGTGGCTCTCTTTCTCTTTCTCACTCTGTCCCTCTCTGGTCAAATTTAAAAATAAATAAATAAATGAATAAATAAACAAAGTCAAATAAAACAATTCTTTAAGAAAGACAAAGGAAGTCTTGTGCCTTTGTTATGAATAAGGAGACAGCACCTGCTCCCCTCATTCCAAGCAAGGCAGCGGCAGAGAGTGCGCAGCAGGACACACCTACAGGGTCTGGACTGCTAAGGAGGGAGACCTGAGCAAACAGACTCTGAGCATGACTCTGCCTAGGGACAGAGCTGTGTGGGCACAGGAACTTTTCAGAACATTCCATATGTTCACACCACACGGTTCTAAAGACATGAGGTTGAACTACATGGAAGTGCCATTTTGTAAGTCAAGTACTCTTGATTTCTTCCATAACTTCATACCAAAGAAGTAAAATTTAGAGCTAAATCCATTTCCCTTCAGTGGGAAATTAGATGATACACAGGGAATAGACTGAGAACAGGATGAACTATCTGGGATCTTGGAAAGGGGACCCTGAAGATAATGTGATTGACTGTCCCGATCTGAGATGGGATGCGGGAGGATCTGGAGCAAGGGACTTCCAGGACTAAAATTAGGAAATCCTGGGCAAACTGGGATGAGCTGGTCACCCTAAAGAAAGAGGAAAATGTCAAGGGGGACACATGATCTCTTTCTCAGTTCTGGTTAGCTCTAGCTGTGAGGAGCAAAACCATGTTAGAGAATATTCAAGGTGTGTAGCAAATGAACCACTGGTTTTTCGCACAACTTCTGCTGTCCCCTGATATCAAGTTACCTGCTGTTTTAGTTGTACTTCTTGCTGTTTCATTTGTTCGTATTTGTGCCTCGATTCTGTGGCTTCTTTTAATAACTAGAAAACAGAAACATTCTGACAAAATTCTAATAGTAAACACAAATACGATCACAATGTCAAATGACCATATACTCAGGCTTTATTATTCTGTTCGAAATAACGAACAGGTGTATAAGAGGAGACGTTCTGTCCCATCAATTGATGTTCACCCCTACTTCAGTGTATTCTTTATTTTTTCTTTTCCCTAAGAGAAAAATTTTTTTGCTATAGGGTGTGTACGCTAGCCAGAGAGACACAGAGGTAGTAAAGAAATCACCCCCAGGGAAGGGGGGGGATAGCCACACCACAATCCCTTCTTTTCCATTCTCCTCCTGGTATTTTGGGCATACAAGCACACATGCCCAGCATGAGTTTCAAGCCGCTGGATCTGGGACTCAAACCATGGCTAGCTATGTGGGTGGGAGTCCAGTGCCTTAACCATTACGTGGGCCACTGGCCCCTATCTTCAATGTATGCTACTTGTTAAGACTTAATAACAAACAATTCATCTTTTACTGCTTAAGTAGAGAAAGTAGCCTGGAGACCTAAGAAGGTTTATAAGTCTCAGAGTTAAATCACTGTGTTTTAAGTGAAAATAATTAGATATCTAGTATTGGCAGAAAATGTGGCTGGGAATCTTGACACTACCGGGGTGACTTAGCCCTCCCAATCCCTGAGAGGCAAGATGAGGCAGGGGAAAGGGGGACAGAAAGAAGCAATAAAATCTGAGACCTGGTTTCTGAGCAGTTTAAAGTAGGGGAAGAGAGATAGCTCTTGTTTACAAGAGGACTTCAAAAAGTCTGTGGAGGGACCAGCAGATGGTGTAATGCTTAACATTGCTAGACTCCCAGGTAGTGGCTCATGGTTTGAGTCCCAGACCCAGCAGCTTAAAACTTAACCTGAGTGCATGTGCATGCATGCCCAAAATCTTGAGAGGAGAATGGAGGAGAAGGGATTGCACCATGGCAATACACCCGGGAGGTGATTCTCACTTTCTGTCTCTCTGGTGAGTGCTCCGCCCTATAACAAAAATCTAAAAAAATAAAAAAATAAAAAAATAAAAAGTTTGTGGACAAATGAAAATAAAGTACAAATTTATTTTGGTGGAAAACACTTTTAAAATCTATGCATGGCTTTTTCTTTCTTTCTTTTTTGAGAGGATTTTGCTATAGGGCATGTGCACTTGCCAGAAAGACAGACAGAAAATGAGAAATCACCCCCCAGGGGTAATGGTCACGCCACAATCCCTTTTCATCCATTTTTCTCTAGGGATCTTGGGCATGCATGCACATGCACCTGGTGTGAGTTTAAGCCACGTGGTCCGGGACTTGAACCGCGATCGACTACATGGGAGTCCAATGACATAGCCATTATGCCACTGCTGGTCCCTATGCACAGCCTTTTCATGACATGCATTTTCTATGAACTTGTTGAAGACTTTCTCATATATATGTATACACATTATACTTGGGTTTTCAAGAAAATTACATAGTGAATGTACATGGCAGACAATTGTAAAATTCAGTCCCTGAAGTAGAATGTGACACACAGTCAAAAGAAGCCTTGGAAATCCCTACTGTCCCAACCAGAAGGTACGTCCATGTACCATATGTACACGTATGTGTGTACAATTTACACTCCAACTTTGGAGATAACCACTTACGCACCTGAGCACCGGATGCCATCGGCAGTTCATGTGGAAGGGCCAGGCTGTGAGAAACACATGTCCCTAAATGCGAGACTCACATTCAGCATATGTTCACATTGTGAGGGCCACCCAGGACCTGAGTCTTCATGCCATTCCAACCTTCGGTTCACGGCTACTAAAGTATACACTGGACAGAACATTTCACACTGTTGTAATCACTTCTCACTTTTATTACTTTTAAAATAAGCACATAGTCGAATTTGCATATATTGGGTTGTCTAGAAAGTCATAATGCATTTTTACAAACAAAATTATTGAAAACTACATCATGACTTTCCAGATGACCTAACATTAATTACACATACCCAATGAGATTCCACTATATTCACAATTAGTGACAGGCAATGTAATCTGAGCATTCTGGGAAAAATGCCAAGTGATTAGGGTATAGAGAATTCTCTTAAAATTTACCAGAGGGGGGACCAGCAGATGGCATCATGGTTACATCATTGGACTCCCACATAGTCAACCACAGTTTGAGTCTCAGACCTGGCAGCTTAAAACTCACACCAGGCATGGGGCTGGCAGTTGGCATGGTGGTTGAAGGTACTGGACTCCCACATGGCCAACCATGGTTCAAGTCCCGAACCTGGCAGCTTGCTTTCTCACTTTCCCTCTGTCTCTCTCTCACTCTCTCACACTCTCTCACTCTGTCCTTCTCTGGTCAAATTAAAAATAAAGTTAAATAAAATAATGCTTTAAAAGGGGGGGAGGTGGGGCCCAGCAGGTGGCATGGTGGTTGAAGGCGCTGGACTCTTACACAGCTGACCATGGTTTGAGTCCCGGACCCTGGCAGCTTGCTTTCTCACTTTCCTTCTCTCCATTTCTCTCACCCTCAACTCTGTCCTTTTTTGGTCAAAATAAATATAAATAAATAAATAAAGTTAAATAAAATAATTCTTCAAAAAAAAAGAAAGAAAGAAAGAACTCACATCAGGTGCCTGTGGGTATGCCCCAAATTCCAAGAGGAGAATGGAGGAGAAAGGATTGTGGCATGGCCATCCCCCCTAGAGGGTGATTTCTTGCTTTTTATCTCTGTCTCTCTCTCTGTTTCTTTGGCAAGTGGATATGCCCTATAGCAAAAATCTCTTAAAAATTTTATCAGAGGAGCCAGGATGTAGTATAGTGGTTAAGGTGCTGGACTCCCACATGGCCAACCATGGTTCAAGTCCTGGACCTGCCGGCTTGCTTTCTCACTTTCCCTTTCTCTCTCTGGTCAAATTAAAAATAATAATAATAAATAATTATTTTTTTAAGAGGTTATTTGCTAGAGGGCATGTGTGCTCGCCAGAAAGACAGAGACAAAGAGATGGAAAGTGAGAAATCACCCCCCAGGGAGGATGGCCACGCCACAATCCCTTCTCCTCGATACTCCTCTCAGGATCTTGGACATGCATGCAAATAAACCTAACATGAGTTTATGCCACCAGGTCTGGGACTCAAACCACAGTCGACTACATGGGAGTCCAGCGACATGGCCATTATGTCAAGTGCTGGTCCCAATAATTCTTTTTTCTTTCTTTTTTTTTTTTTGGAGAGGTTTTAGCTATAGGGTGTGTGCGCTCACCAAACAGACAGACAGAAACAGAGAGACTGAAAGCGAGAAATCACCCCCAGGGGTGATGGCCATGCCGCAATCCTTTCTCCATTCTCTTCCAGGGATCTTGGGCACGCACGCACACGCGCCCGGCGTGAATTTAAGCCACCGGGTCCGGGACTCGAACCGCGGTCGACTATGTGGGAGTCCAGCAACATAGCCATTACACTAATTGCTGGTCCCCCAATAGTTCTTTTTAAAAATAACTTTATCAGAAAATTATACTTGAATAAACAAACGGTTTCCCTAGTTTCAAGTTACTTGCTTATAAACAAAATGTAACCGTGTATAGGAGACCTTTGTTGGGTAAGCTGGATGTTGAACTGAATTACTAAATTTAATGTCTTAAAGACCAGCACAGTTTTTGTATCTGATGATTCGTTATGTAAGCAGTGAAATAAATATGCTAAGCATCAAAAAATCCTAAAAGTGTAGGTCTTTCCACTAGTTCGGCCTACTCTGGACAGTACTTTTTCCTGTAACAAGTTAAATAGAAATAAACGGCTGAACGCTTTCTAACACACACTCCTCGCTCTGCAACAAAAAGCAAATAACATGCCCAAGGAGCTACAATAAATGTTTTAAATGGCTTTGGATACAATTTTGGCAATAATTTCTCTTTTTTTCTTTGAGAAGTAGAACTTACAAACTCTCTCTCTCTTTGATGTTTTTCATCAGCTTCTTTTATCAGTTGTGTCGTTTGTTGAAGTTTGGCATCCACAAGCTGTTGCTGCAGTTCCTTGTGTTTGAACACTTTGTCAATGTGCTATGGAGAAAGTGAAATTTCTTCCATCACATAATGAACAAAGGAACACAGTGGGAGGAAACGTAACACGCGTCCCAGGGCCCTGCTGACACCACCGTCCTGCTACCACCACCACAGCTAAGAGCACTGCTCTTTGGTCCCTGTACTTACTATAGAAGAGGCTGCTCGACACTACCCCACAAGTCTTCTTACACCTACAGGGGCACTCCCCCTGGCCCTGTGGCAACAGACCACCTCTTCATCAGCACTTGACTTCCTGTTTCTGTCCCATGACTTCGAGACAAGGACAGATATGGGGATCAAGCTATGAAACCCATACACCATGCACATAACGCCTCCTCTCCCCATTAAGCGTTCCCACACTTCTTAGCTAGAGACAGTATATTTGATGGTAGGAATGGCCCGAGCCAAACCCTAGTAGAGTGTGGCCTTGGGCACATTCTTCCCAAGTTGAATCTCAGGGCCCTCATGCTTACAGAGCCTAGCAGTCAATGTGGAGGCCGAGTTATGGAAGGTGCTGCATGTTGGCATGTGTTAGATAGGTGGTAAGAGCTCACATTTCCAGGGGACTAGCAGATGATGTAGTGGTTACATCACTAGACGCCCATGTAGTCAACCGGGGTTCGAGTCCTGGACCCGGTGGCTTAAAACTCATGCCAGGTGCATGTCGGTGTGTGTCTTCAGTATCCCAAGAGGGGTAGGGATTACAACATGGTCATTCCTCCTGGGGGGGGTATTTCTCACTTTCTGTCACTCCCTGTGTCTCCAGTAAGCACATACATCCTACAGCAAAAATCCCCCTCCAAAAAAAGAAGGGAAAAAAAGAGCTCACATTTCCAAACTCAATTGCTAAATGGTTATTTATGTGGGCCAGCACTGGCATGGTGGTTAAAGAGCTGGACTCCCATATGACCAACTATGGTTCAAGTCCCAGATGTGGAGGCTTGCTTTCTAACTTTCATGATCTCTCTCTCTCTCTGGTAAGCACATGTACCCTGTGGCAAATTTAAAATTAATAATGATAATAATAAAATTATTTTTTAAAAATTTTTAAATGGTTATTTATGTATAAAAAAGTCATGGAAACATCCCTTCCCAGCTGGAGACACAGAACTCTTCCAGTTAAGATACCCTACATGAAAGGGGGAAATGATCCTTGGTAACCAGGCAGCCTAACAGCAAAGCTGATGCTTTATCCTCACTTGTGAATTAATCTGATTATCTGTTAGATCATCACAAATGAAAACCATTCTATAATATTCAAAATAAATAACACTTGTAACTAATATGATTCAAACTTATATAATTTTCAAATTTGCTACATTGATAAAGGTGACTTTTAAATAATGAAACTGAATCATATTAAGAAAATTAAGGGTTTTGGGACCAGCAGTTAGCGTAATGGTTATGTCGCTAGACTCCCATGTAGTCCATCGCAGTGTGAGACCCAGACTCGGTGGCTTAAACTAATGCCAGGTGCATGTGTGTGCCCAAGATCCCGAGAGGAGAATGGAGAACGGACTGTGGCATGGCCATTTCCCCGGGGGCTGATTTCTCACTTTCTGTCTCTCTGTCTCTGTCTTTCTGGCGAGTGCACACGCCCTATAGCAAAAACCTCTCAAAAAAAAAAAAATTTAAGGGTTTTGGTGGCAGGTGGTGTGGTTGTGTGGGATTGACTGGTTGGTCCTGCACGGCCAACCGTGGTTTGAGTCCTGGACCTGGTGGCTTGCTTTCTCAGTTTCCCTCCCTCCCTCCCTCTCTGTCTCTCTCACTCTACCCCTCACTGATCAAATTAAAATAAATAAATACTACAGTTCAAGTTCCAGACCTGGTGACATGCTTTTTCATTTCTCCCTCTCTTTCTGTCTTACTCTGGTGTGTGTATGTGCCAGGTAACAAATCAAAAATATAAAACAAAACAAAAAACAAACAAAAAGGTAAATAAAATTAATCATTAAAAAAAAAAAAGTGGTTAAAATCACCACTAGGACAAAAACCTTCTCCAATATGCAAACTCTTAAGAATAAAAAAAAGTGATCTTCTCTTTTGGTCCTTGTAGCCAGAGAACAAGGTCAGAAGAAAAGAAGGGTTGGTTGCAGTGCTGCCACTTCTGATTTCAGACCCAGTGCGTCTCACAGGGCTTCGAGCAGCGCCATGCTGGGACAGAGCATCTAGAGGTTCATGACCTCCGTGGTCCATAGGAGCCACTATGAGGAGGGCCCAGGGAAGAATCTGCCATTTTCAGTGGAAAGCAAGAGGCGGTTACTCATTAAGATGACTTCGTACTTTGGATCTGGATTTGCTGCACCTTTCTTTATAGTAAGACACCAGCAGCTTAAGAAAGAAGGACGTTTTAATTCATCCATAGATATGCAGAACATTTTAAGAGGTGCAGTCACAATCTCTGAAAAAAAGATCAAACTCTTAAACTCTTAGCATACTAGGTATGTTTGTAAATAAACTTATGACCGGAATGCTTAATGCCTCTTTTCTGAAATAAGGATATGATTACTTGAACATGTCCTTACTTTATTTTTGGGGTAATATTACCAAATTAGTTTCTTCATGAGGAACTGTTTGTGGTTTATCTTGTTTTTATGGTCATAAATTCCAAGAATTTCTTTTGATTCCTATATCAGAACCTTATAGGCCATGTATGTTACAAAAGAGAAATGCAAATTTGATGTGGGTTCTGTAATTTTTAATTTAAAGGGAGGAAAACAATAATTTCAGTCTTTCCCTGTGAAGGAATAAATTGATTTTTTCTTTGTGGAAGGGTGAAAAAAAAGGTGGGAGGGGTCACAAGCTGTGGTGGTGTGCCAATAATAAAACTAACATCTTTTTTTTTTTTAAGAATTATTTTATTGAGGCCAGCAGGTGGTGTGGTGGTTAAGGGTGCTGGACTTCAATGTGGATGACTGTAGTTCGAGTACTAGACCTGGTGACTCCCCCCCCCTCATCCCTCTCTGGTCAAATTAAAATAAAGAAGTGAATACATAAAGTTATATATTGTACTTTATTATGTACTTATTTTAACCACCCTTAACCACCACGCCACCTTTCAGCCCATCTTTTTAAATATTATTTATTTAATTTTATTTATTGTCTTTATTATTATTATTTTAATTTCACTGGAGAGAGACAAAAAGAGAGAGAGGGAAAGTGAGAAAGCAAGCCATAAGGTCTGGGACTCAAACCATGGCTACCCACGTGGGAATATACGGTATGAATATTTTTTAAATGTTAACTATAACCAATTGACAAATAAAGGTAGAATATTCTGAGGCCAGCGGGTGGCATAGTGGTTAAGGCATTAGATTCCCACATGGCTGACTGCAGTTCATGTACCAAATCCAGCAGCTTGAAATCCATGCCAGGTGCATATATGCGCATGCCCAAAATCCCACAAGGAGAAAGGAGAAGGGAGGACTGCAGCATGGTCATCCCCTCTGGGTAGGGTCAATTTCTCTTTCTGTCTCTCCAGAGAACACATGTACCCCACAGCAAAAAATAATCCCTAAAAAAATAAGTAAATAAAAAATAAAAATAACCATTTTGGTGGCAGGCAGGTGGTATGATGGTTACGGCACTGGACTCCCACATGGAGAACTGCAGTTCAAGTCCTGGACCTGGTGACTTGCTTTCTCACTTTCTCTCTGTTTGTCTGTCTTTGGTGAGCCTGCATGCCCTATAGCAAACTGAATAATACTGATAAGTTAAAAATTAAATAAGTAATTCTTTAAAAAATATAAATAACCATTTTGGGTGGCCAGCAGGTGGTATGGTGGTCAAAGCACTAGCCACCATGGGGCTGACCATGGTTCGAGTTCCGGACCTGGTGGCTCGCTTTCTCATCCCCCCACCCTCTTTGTGGTGAGGCTGGTGAGTGTATATGCCCTATAGCAACTTAGTAATAAATAATTAAAATAAATTTTTGAAGGTCTTTAAACTATATATTAGCACAAAGTTTGAACTGAAAACTAGATACAAACAGAAAGACCTTTTTTTTTAAAAATTTGAATGAAATATTTTAATGTATTTGTGAAAAAGATACTGCCCCTGAAGAGCACAGTACCCTGCTAACTTTAAAGGAAGGGAATATACCACTTGAATAACCTAAAACTCTGGCCAGCAGCAGTTAAGTCACTGGACTCCCCCATGGCTGACTACTATTCAAGTCCCAGACCTGGAGGTTTGGTTTTTCACTTTCGCTTTCTCTCTTGTCTCTCTCTGGAGAGTGCACGTGCCCTATAGCTAATTAAAAAACAATAATAAATTAAATTAAAAGCAAACAAAAAAATACACTAGCACCTATTTGTTGTGAACCTAGACACCTCCCATGAATTTCCAAACCGGCGTGTAAAATACCTGCCAATGTCTTGCACCAGCCGGTGGTGTGATCGTTAACATGACCAGGTGCCACAGGCCGATGGCACGGTGTAAGTCCACTCTCTGTGACTTGAAAACTAGGCCATGTGCATGTGTACCCAAAATCTTAAAAGGAGAAACAGAGAAAGGACTGTGCTGTGGTCATCTCTCTAGGGGACGTTTTCTCACTACTACCCCTCGCCTTGCAAATGCAAACACCTATAGCAAAATTAACAAAAAAAGAAAAGAAAAAAAAATTTTAATCGCTCAAGTCTTCACTGAAGGCCTGTGGCCAAGTGTGGCAGCCATGGATCTTCCAGGACACTTCTGACTTCAATGGGCGTGTATGGAGGGGTAGGTTCTTTTGTCCTCCAAATGCAGCAACTGTGGGAACTATCTAGATGATCATAGATGTACAGGGTATTTAGAGACCAAAAATTCATTCATTATTGGTCTGAACAAGGGAGGGCAATCTGTATGCTAAAATCACAATGTATCAGTATCACAGGGAAGACAGTATTTGACACGTCTGCTAAAAACTACCCTCATCGAAACCCAGTGATTCTGGGGCCTTGAGGAAAGATCCCGGTGATGCCTATGGTCAGGTACTGCCTCATCCTCCCTAATATCTGACTTCTGGAGCCAGCAGACAGCATAGTGGTTTCATTACTGGACTCCCACATGGCCAACTGTGGTTCGGGTCCTGGACCCGGTGGCTTGAAAATCATGCGTATGCGTGTGTGCCCAAGGTCCTGGGAGAAGAGAGGAAAAGGGATTGCAACATGGCCGTCCCTCCGGGGGGAAGACTTCTCACTTTCCCTCTCACTGTCTCTCCAGTGAGTGCATGCACTCTAAGGCAAAAACCTCTTAAAAACAAACCTTAATAGAAACCTGACTTCTGCTCTATGCACACACAAAAGCTCCAAAACCTCCTGGGAGTATGTTACTGTAGTAGTGAATAGTGATGTTCTGGGTAATACTGAAATGCCAATTATAGAAAACAAGCCAGTAGGTGGCATGTTGGTAGAGGTACCGGATCCCACAAAATCAACTCCACAGTTTGAGCTCTGGGCACTTGTGTGTGAGTGCCCAAAACCTTGAGAGGAGAATGGAATAGAAGGGATTGCACTGTGGCCATGCACTCTGGAGGGCGATTTCTCACTTTTCCTCTCTGTCTCTCTCGGTGAGCACATGCATCCTATGGGAACCCCCCCTCCCCTGTTTTGTTTTAAAGAGAGACTTTTGCTGTAGGGCATGTGCACACACCAGAGACAGAAAGCGAGAAATCACCAACCCCTGGGGGGATGACCACCTCACAATCTCTTGTCCTCCATTCTCCTCTCAGGACCTTAGGCACACATGTGCATGCGCCAAGAGTGAGCTTTAAGCCGCTGGGTCTGGGACTCGAACCATGGTCAACTACATGGAAGTCCAGCATGGAAGTCCAGCAATGTAACTATTATGCCATCTGCTGGTCCTGCAAAAATAAAATCTTTTTTTTTTTTTTTTTAAGAAAAATAAAATCTTGGGGCCAGCGACTGGTGTGGTGGCTAAGGCACTGCACATTACCACATGGCCAACCATGGTTCGAATCCCGGACCTT